TAGACTACATGGGAATTGCAACATTACTACTTTGTGTTTCCCTAACATAAGCGTTTTTATATTTAGCCATACAAATAACTTCTTTTTCCTTTCTTTTGTATTATTGAGGTATAATTGACTTATACTTAGTACTCACAGGTCTTTGGGCCCAGGGCCTTCCTCTTTTGTACCCCTTAGAGGAGATTTCCACAGAACTTACCAAAACCTCATTCTTTTTGGTTTGAATAGACTGATCCATCCATAGCCTGGGAACTCTAAGCACTCCACCCAGGGACCCTAATAAAGGTGTGTGCTCCAGGTCTTGGCACTTTCTCTGCCTTCATCTTGCCTTGACCTTCCCATGTAGCCACTTGAGTTACGTGTATATCTGTGAGTCTGTGAAATACTTTTCTGTTTTAATTTTCTTTCAGTCGTTTGTTGAACCATAGCTCACCATTAGACCTTGGGACTCTTCTTAACGAGTGTTAATTTAACAAAGTCACAACATGTATGAGTTTTAGAATCAGCTTGTCAATTTCTACAAAGAAAACCTTCTTGAATATTGGAATTATGTTGAAATTATACATCAATTTAGGGGACTTGGCATCTTAAAAACTTTGAGGCTTCTGACCAATGAGTAAGACTTATCTCTCCTTTTCTCTGGTTCTTCTAAAAACTTTCAGTAAAATTTTGTAGTTTTTAGTGTATATAACTGGCACATTTTCAACCACATTTATCCCTGCATATATTATGCTTTTGGATCTACTGTAAATGGTATTTTCTACTCCAATTTTCAATTATTTGTTGCTAGTGTATAGAAATTCAGTTGGTTTTGTATATTGATCTTATATCCTTTAATTCTTACTAAAGTAATTTAACAGTTACAGTAGTTTTGGGGTATATTCTCTTCATTTTCTTCATCAAGAATAATGTTATTCATGAATAAAGACACCTTTAATTGTCTTTTCTAACTGGATGCCTCTTATTCCTCTTACTTTAGTTATTACCTAGAAATTCCACGACAGTTTTGAAAAGAAATGCTGAGAGTGTACATTCTTTTCTTCTTCCTGATTGCATTCAGTCTTGCAATATTAAGTATGATATTAGCTGTAGGTTTTTTACCTTTTCTTTCTTTCTTTCTTTTTTTTTTTTTCTTTTGGATGCTCTTTATAAGGGTTAGGACATTCTCTTTTATTCTTACTTTCCTCAGAAGTTTTATCAAGAATGAATACTGGAAGGGCACCTGGGTGGCTCAGTCGTTAAGCGTCTGCCTTTGGCTCAGGTCATGATCCCAGAGTCCTGGGATTGAGCCCTGCTTTGGGCTCCCTGCTCTGTGGGAAGCCTGCTTCTCCCTTTCCCACTCCTCCTGCTTGTGTTCCTGCTCTCACTATCTCTCTCTCTCTCTGTTAAATAAATAAATAAAATTTAAAAAAAAAGAATGAATATTGGATTTTGTCAAATGCTTATTCTAATGAAATGATCACATGTTTTTGTTGGTGTGGATAGTGTTTTTAGTTTGGTATTATATTGAACGATAATGATCTGTTTTCTAATGTTAAACTAACCTTGGATTCCAGAGATAAACCACCACTTGACGGTGATGTATTATCCTTTTTATATATTGTTGGATCTGAATTCCAAATATTTTTTTAAAAATATTTATGCATAGTTGTTCATGAGGCATATTAGTCTGTGGTTTTCTTTCTTGCAAAATACCTTTGGTTTCCATACCAGGATAATGCCTCTGGAATGATTTGGGAAGAATTGAATTTTTTGTATGCTATTGTGATAGAATTGTTTTCTTAAATTCCTTTTCAGCTTGTTTATTGCTAGTGATTTTTGCATTTGATCTTGTACCCTGGATTCATTTATTAGCTCTAATAGCTAATATAGGATCATATCATCTGTAAAGAGATAGCTTTACCTTTTCTTTTCCAATTTGAATGCCTTCTATTACTTTTTATTGAATTTTTCTCTTGCTAGAACTTCTAGTACAAAGCTCAATAGCAGTAGCATGGGAAGCATCTTTTTGTTATTCTTCATCTTAGCGGGAAAAGTTTCAGTTTTTTTACTACTAAGTATAATTGCTAGCTGTGGGTTTTTGTTTTTTTTAATAAATTCCCTCTATCATGTTGAAAAAAATTTCCTTCTATTCCTAGTGTTCTAAGTGTTTTTATCATGAAAGTTTGTTTTTGTCAAATGCTTTCACTGCTTTAATTGAGATGATCTTTTTGTTTTCTTCATTCTAATTTGGTGTATTACCTTGATTGATTTTCATATGTTTAACCACACTTGCATTTGGGGTTAAATCCCATTTTTTCACAGTCTATGCCCCTTTCAGTGTGCTGTTGGATTCAGTTTGCTAGCATTTTGTTGAGGATATTTTCCATCTCTATTCATGTAGTTTTCTTTTCATGTGATAGTCTTTATCTGACTTTGGTATCAAGATAATGCTAGTCTTATAGAATAAATTAGAAAGCCTTCACTTCTTTTCTATTTTTTGGCAATGTTTGAGAAGGATTGGTCTTAATTCCTCTTTACATGTTTGGTAGAATTCATGATTGAAGCCATCTGGTCCTGGGCTTTGCTTTGTTAGAAGGCCTTTTTTTTTTTTTTTTTCCCCTAATTCAATCTGTCTCATTGTTATAGGTCTGTTCAGATTTTCTGTTTCTTCTTTAGTTCAGTTTGGTGGTTTGTGTATTTCTAGGAATTTTTTCCATTTCATACAGTTTGTCTCATTGGCGTAAAATTCCCTTACAATCTTTTTTTTCTTTCTATAAGGTCAGTAGTAGTGAACTCCTTTTCTTTTCTAATTTTCATTATTTGCGCCTTTTCTCTTTTTTATTAACCAGTCTAGTTAAAGGTTTGTTAAAAATCTTGTTGATCTTCTAAAAGAATAAACTTTTGGTTTCACCAATTCTTTCTATTGCTTTCCTATTATCTTTTTTTTTATATATCTGCTCTAATCTTTATTCTGTCCTTCCTTCTGTTAGTTTTGTGTTTAGTTTGCTCTTCTTTCTCTAGATAATTTAGGTGTAAAATTTTTCTATTGATTTAGGTGCAAAATTTTGCTATTTATTTGAGATCTTTTTTTTATATATTGGCATTCATCCCTATAAGTTTTTCTCTAAGCACTGTTTTCTTTGCATTCCATGTACTTTGGTATGTTTTATTTTCATTGGTCTTAAAGTAATTTCTAATCTCCCATGTAATTTCTTCTTTGTTACATTGGTTGTTCACTAATGCGTTGCTTAATTTCCATATATTTGTCAATACTCCAGTTTACTGTCTGTTATTGATTTACATTTTCATTTCATTATGATTGGAGGCAAGATACTTTCATTATTTCAGTCTTTTTATATAAAGACTTGTTTTGTGGCCCAGCATATGGTCTGTCCTGGAGAATGTCTCTTGTGTGTTTAAGAAAAACGTATATCCTGTACATATATTATCGTTGTCTCTATTTTTGCTTTATGCAGTCCGTTTGTAAGAGCAGCTTTAAAAATAACTTTATATTTACCTTCATTTATGGTTGTTCTTGGACTTCCCATTTTTTATGTGTAGATCCAAATTTCTGCCTCATATCATACTTCTTCCTGAATAACTGCTTTTACATTTCTTGTAATACAGGTGTTTTGGCATTGAATACACTTTTTAATTCTTTTTTTTATCTGAGAAGGTTTTTATATCTCTTTCCTTTTTTAAAAGATTATTTATTTGAGAGAGAGAGAGAGAGCATGTGCAAGCCAGGGGAGAGGCAGAGGGAGATGGAAAGGGAGAGAATCCCAAGCAGACTCTGCACTGAGCATGGATGCAGGGCTCAATCTCATGACCCTGAGATCATGACCTGAGCCGAAACCAAGAGTCAGATGCTTAAGAGACTGAGTCACCCAGGTGACCCTCTCTTTTGTTTTTTAAAGATAATTTTTCTGGGTGTAGATTTTTTGGTTGATTTATTGATTTATTTATCTTTTAGCACTTTGAAGATGTAACTCCATGGTCTTTTGGCTTGTGTGGTTTGTGCAATGAGTAAGAAACCAGTTTGTTTTTAGTAATAATAGCAAATAATGACAAAAATAAGCATTTATGTAGTCTTACTACATTTAGGCACAATTGTAGTACCTTTCAAATATTATTTATTTTTTAAATTTACATGTCGTCTTAAAAATTTGTTTAACAAAGTGAATTTAACTGCTTGTACACATCTTGAAGGAGTAAACATACATCCATACACATTTCCATTTCTTCTTAACATATATACATGTTAAGAAGAAAAATGATAAATGACTAGTGTCAGAAGTAGCAATGAGCTCTCCCCTAAAGACTAAAGATTGTTTATTTAATTTAGAAAATGAGAGATTCTTGATGCTCTTAGTTAAATTTTTTTGGTAAAATATTTATAGGGCTAAAATCAGATTATAGTGGGTTGTAGATATAAAAGCTATTGAAAAGGAGATAGGGCAAAATTAAGTTAGTCTTTTGAAAAGTTTGCATGGGAAAATGGAAAAGTGTGAAAAAGGATAATAGGAATAGTTATAAAATTTATTACAATAAAAGTATATAGAACACTAAATTTAAACATTTATTATTTGCTTACTATGCCGAGCACTTTATATACATTATTATGTATACATACATTATTTTAGTCAATTTGCTTCAGTCTTATAATAGTATTTTGAGGGAGATTATATTAATTATCTCAATTGTACAAATAAGGAAACTGAGGCATAAAAAGATTGAGTTACCTATCTGTGTCTTGAGAGTTTTGTTTAAAAAGAAAAATGAAGTCTCTCTCTCTCTCTCCCCAGAAATACTGTAATAGAATTTGATTGCTTCTTTGTCTTGGTTAAAATACATGGGCGTGACATCTTTTGTTTATTTTTTTTAACAGGTAGAAGTCAAATGTGAATTAAAGTTTACCTTGTTTTAACTGCCACATGAAATATTAATAGTAAAGCCAATTTGGAGAATAGTTTGGCAATATCTACTGAAATTTAAATGCTCATTTCCTTTCATTGCAGATGAGATTTTCCAAAATATGGCTGCCCAATGTCATGATGACATCTTCCTTCAAAAGTAAGGTTATGTTTACTTCCTTTGAAACTAGACAGATCTGTGTGAATATCTTAACCCTTACAATGTAATGAAAGTGATGATGTGTGGCTTTTGAAACCAGGTTGTAATAAGCAATATGGCTTCCTTCTGACCTTTTCCCTGTCTTGACAAGCTTGTTCTGGGAAACCCTGCCACCATGTTGTGAAGAAGTCCAGGTGACACAGAGAGGTCATGAGTGGATATTCCACTGACAGAGTGGGCCAAGCTTGTAGCTGACAATTAGCCACAACCATCAGATAGATTTGAGCTCTTGACTTCGGATCTTGGAGCTGAGGCCTTAGACATCAGAGCACAGACACAAGCCATCCCCATTGTGCCCTGTTTGAATATTTGACCCAGAGGAACCATGAGAAATAATAAATAACTACTGTGTATATGGTGTATAGCCACAAGCTTTTGCAATAATTTGTTACCCAACCATAGATAACTGAGATGTGTTTGTTCCAGTAATCCATATTTGGTATGTACTCAGGAAGTGTTGTACAATAAGAAATAATATGAAAAATGTTTGTTGAGTCATAATTTGTAAGGGCAAGAAACTTGAAAAATCTAGAAATAAGCATCTAAAAATCAGAGAGTGGCTAAATAATCTTAGAAAATACATACTATGAAACACAATTCCATAATTTAAAAAATCAAATTTATTTATGGGGAAAGTTTTTTAATACATACTGTTGGATAAAAACAGCAAAGTACAAAAGGGAACATAACATTTATGTAAAACACATACATATCCCCAAAATAATATTACATATTTTCTACTGGAATATAAAAGTCAGTCAAAACTGGTGTGATAAGATGCACCCAACCTAATGCATAAATGAGGGTAACAATAGTACAAATTCAAACTAACATGAGTTAAACAGAAAGAGGAAGAAGTTATTTGGGGTTCTATTCTTTGCAAGTTATTGAACTATGAGTCTCTTTGATGTTATTTTATATATATCTCATAATAATCTTGGAAGTATATATTATTGCCATGTTTTTTTAAGAGAAGATAAATGATTATAAGGGTATTTAATACATGCTGTAGAAGCTAACCAGGCTTAGTCAGCTACATAATTGATTCTAGAGAGCCTAATTTTTGACTGCTTAGTACATATGGGCCCCTTTAAACGTACATACTGCTTTTGAAATTTATCTTTAATCAAATAATTTTTTAAACCTACCTAACCTTATTTTCCTCATGTACAGTGCCAAGGGGCTAACCAGATGAATAACATGATTTTTTTAACTCTGAAATTCTGAAAGCACATTGTAGTTTGAATCAAACTGAATGGATATATGTTAGTGGCCTCTCAGGTCATTTTTTTGCTTCCTTTATTTCAGTAGACATTTGTATTATACCAATCATTCAGAGTTCTTTGATGTTCTCCTTGAGGATTATGGAGAATGAAGCAGAAAGTTTCCATGACTGTTCTGAAAACAATTGCCAAATGCTATTTGTATGAAGCTTGTTTATTCATTGATACCAACTCCACAGGTATATGCAACAGATCATCCAGCTGAATGCAAGCAGAGGTTTGGGTAACACTTGATTCAAATCAAATTACTGTATGTGAAGGAACTGGACCTTCCTTCCTCTGTGATTGCCTCATAAAAACTTTTCTCAGTCACTTGAGTATGCTTTGGTTCTGTAAGAAATGGCATTATCATGTGTGGCATCCACATTTTGGCTTAAGTTAGTTCTAGTTTAGTGTCTTTTTCATTGCAAAGCAAGTATTTCTGGAAGAGCCAGATCTATGCTAGTCCTAAGTTAGTAGAGCAAGGAGGAGTAAGAGAAGCAAAGCAGTTTTAAGTAGAGGGCACTAGAAAAACAAAACCCCAGTGATGTGCAAGAGTACATAGTCAAGAAACTGTCAGTGGTCAAGTTGACTGGTTCATCTACGTGTGTGTGTGTGTGTGTGTGCGCGCGCGCACAAATATGCAACAAGAGAATATGCAGGAGAATGGGCAGAGGAATAAGCAGCAATAATAAGATTATTTCTCAGAACAAGAACCAGGTAATATAGGCCTAAGGCATTAAGAATTTGTTATATTCAGATTCTTGGTAATGTGTTGGTTCACCTTAATTAGTAACTCCACTTCTCTTAAATAGATTTTAATCACCATGAACGTTCAGGTACTTCCGTTTATCATCTTATGTCAATGCTATTCATCTTGTGTGTATAGTGCTGTGCTTTGTCACTTGGCCATTATACTACCCATTAGTTTCCTTGAATATATTCTTTTCTGTAATAACGAGTCAGTGTCAAGAAATCTTGTGGCAAGATCTTGATATATTTTTAACTGGAGGACTCCTTTAAAAAATGAGTCAATGATGAAGGATTGTCTTGTAGTGAAGGGGGGAAAAAAGTAGAAAGTTAATGAATCTGGACTTTGACATGTCATATATCTTATGCAGGGACACCCAAGAATTGTTGGAGAATGTTGGACATATTCCAGGAATTGTCATGGCAGGATGGTAGCCAGGTTGATGATGATGCATTGTCATTTTACTTTTGGAAAATCCTGTGAGGCTCGCTATGGAGTCTGGCAATAGCAATTACAATTACTGTACTTCATTTTATTCACTTGGGCAAAATAATGTCATTCCACTTAAAACATACAAAATTACAAACTAATAATAAAGCTCTCTTAATGGCCCTTAGAGCAAGGAGTTAACCTTGATGATAAAGTGATGTAAGGCTTAATAAACCTTGTTTCTGGCTAAGTCTCAGAGAGAATGAATTCTGTGTGATTTAGCTGTGTATAATCAATAATAACTGACTGCTGCCTGGCACTAGTTGAATCTGAGGACTGAGCACAATGCTCACACAGGTATGGCGTTTGTGCAGGCTTTCTCTGCCTGCCCTCACAGTGCTTCCCTTTTGCTTTTCTTGTCATCAAATGACTCTCCTCTGTGATGTGAGCCTCAAGTGCTTTGGCGTGTATTTGACTATGGCTCCCCAACAAGGATAGTCTCACTAATGAAATCAAGCACAGTTAGTTGTTTCAGATATTTATGTGCTAAATAACAATAAACCTTGGGTAAATATTCTAAACAGCCAATCCGATAGCAAGCTTTGTAGTGAATTGGGTAAATACACCGGCATTGTGTTCAAAGATCTTTTATAAAAGAAAGTTGTTGAGCAGCTCCACTTAGAGCTGTCACTTAAAAAATTTACAAAGCCTGGATATTAGTAGAATGCTATATAGACCAGGAAAATTCATATTGCCGAATTTTGAAGAAAGGGTATCTGGACAAAGTCCCTGTGTAAGAAGACACTTGCCTGACTAAATTTACTGTTTTCTCAGTCTTGTGGACTCAAGAAAAAAGAAAACTTTCTGTTGAGTGTCCTTGTAGACACTAGAACTGAGGATGTGGAATTATCTAAGTAAAAGTCTTGAGAGCATGATGTACAAAATATGCAGCTGTATTCATATACACCAGAATGTATGGATATCTACCAGTTTATTCCCTGTACCATTCAGAAAGTAGCTAGTCAGAAAGTTATTTAAGTGAGTCTAAATTAACATAGGGGTAATTAATTGCATGTTACAAATGAGTAATTGCCTCATGCTATAATATTTGAGGCAGATGAGATTCTTAAAGTAGCTTAACAGGGATGCATTCCCATGGCCAATGCTTGGTAGCATCTTCCCATTGCAAGCTGACCCATGGACACTGTCATTGCCTATTTGCTCCTTTGGTTTCTCCGATTTTATATATATATATATATATATTTAATTTTCATATTAGTTTTGTTTTATATAAATAGTAACAGAAGTACATTTATAATATAAATAATGGCAGTGGTTGGAATGCAATGAAATCTAAGAGCCAGTTTACATGCTGAGAATTTAAAGGTATTTCTAGGACTTGCAGGCATAGATTGAGGGTCTCTGGAAAGAGGCTTTATGCTCAGAGTTCCAGGCTGAATTCCAGGGGTACGAATAAACCCCAAGGTAGTTTTGTGGATTGTGGGAATAGAAGGGCCATGTGATCCACTTCCTATATGGAACACTAGGACAGTAAGCAAGGGTATTTTTCCATTACCGTTTAAATGGAGAAGAATACAACATTTTCAGGATGTCAGAAAGAGTATGAGGGAGCTGGCCGGGGATCTAGAAGGTATCGGGATGGACCATGTAATTGAACACCAGTTGAGACTGTGTCCCTGACAGCAACCAGTGTGGAAAAGCTGGGAAGCCGAAAAAAGGTTATAACTCAGTAAGGCTATCATGGATAGAAACCAGCCTCTGACTGTCTGAATTTTTCTCTTGAGGTCATGGTCGGTTTAAGCCTGGATACCTAAATTATCCAGCCCATGGAAAAGGAAGTGAAAAAGGAGAAATCTTAATTGGCTGAGTTTAAACTTGAAATGGCTGAAAAGTATACAAGCTTATCTGATGTTAACTAGATTGATTTTTTTTTTTTTTGCTACTAGTCAAAAAATAGTCTCAAGATAAATTGAATATAAAAAAAAGTCAAGCTAAATTTTGCCAATCAGAATTTGTGGCTTGAAAATACACATCTGCTTTTTGTTTACATGTATGTATAAGTGGTTGTGGGGTTTATACTGAGATTTAAGGCATTTAGAACATTATTAAAAAGATGGGTTGTTGAGGTTTTTTAAGAGATAGAGAATTTGGGGGCACCTGGGTGGCTCAGTTGGTTAAGCGACTGCCTTCAGCTCAGGTCATGATCCTGGAGTCCTGGGATCGAGTCCCGCATCGGGCTCCCTGCTTGGCAGGGAGTCTGCTTCTCCCTCTGACCCTCCTCCCTCTCATGCTCTCCGTCTCTCATTCTCTCTCTCTCAAATAAATAAATAAAATCTTAAAAAAAAAAAAGAGATAGAGAATTTGGGTAGCTATAATTCAAATTTATAAAACAACTATTCACAAATATTTCAATATTATTGGTTTAATGACAACAGATACTCTGTCTTGACACAGTTTTAGTATGAGATTTGTAATCTGGAA